CTTGGCCATGCCCAGGCGCGGCGCGAGCAGATCCAGCACCTGACTGCCGGGCTGGAAGCGGTTCAGCGGCTCGGCCGCCGTCCGGACGTAGTACTGAGCCGCCTGCTCCACGGCATTGGACGGCATGTACAGCTGTTCCTCGGGCTCGGCGAGCATCTTGGCCGAGAGGGTCAATGGCGCGGGCAGGATCCGGATCCGATACGGGCTGAGTGGTGATAGATCCGTGAGGACAGCGCTGTGCTCATCTGCAAGGAGCAGAGAGGCAAGTGGAGGGAGAGAGAGAGAAGGAGAGAAAGCGAGAGAGAGAGAGAGAGAGAGAGAGAGAGAGAGAGAGAGAGAGAGAGAGGAAGGGCGGGCAGAGAGAAAAGACAAAGGTCAGCCAATCGCATGCTGAAGAAGAGAAAGAGGCAGGGAGGCCGAAGGAAAAAGGGGCAAAAAGAGGCGGGCATCCACAGCCGGACAGGCACTTACCTGCGTCTCGCGGTCCTGGTCCTCCAGGAGGTTGAGGAAGGACGGCAGCAGCTCCAGCAGCGTGGGGATCACACCACGCGCGGTCAGGAGGTTCATCCCGGAGAAGGCGTAAATGAGCGACGTCTTGGCCAGCCAGTGGTAGGGGTCCGAGTGCGAGGGGGACCCGGGATGGCGGACCAGCGACGAGAGGCTGCGCGAGCCGGCCCCGCCGGAGAAGCCAGCGTCGAGGGCGGCCTCGGCATCCGCCTCGACCTCGGCATCGGCCTCGCTGGTGGCCCCGTGGCCCTCCTCATCGCCATCGTCGCCGTCATCCTCATCATCGTCATCATCACCGGCGTCGTCTTCCTCGTCGACGCCATGGTGGCCGTCATCGGCCTCGGAGTCGGTGCCAGCCTCGTCACCGGACTCGATGTCCATGGCGCCATCGGCGGCCTCCGGGCCGCCATCGACATCCTCCTCGTCCTCCTCCAGGCCGTCAGTCATGTCGACGTCCCGGTCCAGGAGGATGGTTGCCTGGGCCGCGGCCTCGGCCGACGGGAAGAAGGCCTCATCCGCCACAACCAGGAGGATGGAATCGGGGTCGCCATCCGTCAGGGACCCCACCCCGGCCAGGGTGTCATTGTTGAGACGAGCACAGACGGCCGCCGTGTCGGTGGCGCCGGCGGCCGCCGCCGCCGCCGCCGCGTCGACATCGTCCGTGGCCCCCGGCGCATCAAGCGCCAGGACCATCGGGGTCCCCGGGGCCGAGGCCGAGGGGATCAGCTGCCGCAGGTGCTCCAGCGCCCGAGCCATGATCGACCCCACCTCGAACCGGACCCACTCCTCGCGCGGGAGCGAGGGGATGATGCAAACATTCTGCAAGATGTGCATGATCGAGCCAAGCTGGTCCCGGCACTGCCGGTACGGGTGGGCCATGTGCGGGAGCAGGGCCTTGGCGGTGGGCGCCGCAAAGCGCACCAGGCGCCAGGCCATGGCCGAGAAGAGGTTCAACTGGAGCTGGACCTTGCGCGCCTCGGAGAAGGAGTACCGCCGCGTGGTCTGCAGCTTCTCCGAAAGGATCAGATCAATGAGCCAGCGGACGCGACGAGGGTCCTGGTGCGACTGTGCGGGCGAAAGACCCACAGAGGGGGAGGGGGGGGGGGCCGGCGGCGGGGAGAAAAAAAAAGGCATGTTAGAGACGGCATGCATCGGGGCGTGTGCGCGTGTGTGCGTGCGGCAGCAAGGCAGCACACGAGGGGAAAGGGGGGGAGAAAAAAAAAAGGCCGGACAATGGCCCGAGGCGGAGGGAAGCCAGCTCTCGCACCATGCCATAGCTGATGGCGCTCCCCCAGTCGGCCACATTGTCGTGGTTCAGCGAGTCGAACACCTTCGCCAGCAGGGGCCGCAGCGTCCGGCGGAGGGTCTCCCGGTCGGCCGTGCCCCAGGCCCGGGACCCGCGCAGCACGCCGGCCACCAGCTCGCAGGACAGGCTCTGTGCGGCGCGGTCGTTGGTCTGCACGGCCAAGCGCCGCAGCGGGCCCAGAGCCCCGAGCCAGGCCGAGAGGCCGAAGTGCCGGAAGAGGGACTTCAGCAGGACATACACGGCGCTGTCGAAGTTGGCCTCGCCGGCGGCGGTGGTGCCGCTGCCGGCCCCGGCCCCGCCGTCGTCCTCATCGTCGAAGGTCCGGCCAATTTGCAGCAGCCCCAGGAGATCGTCCCAGAAGTTCGGGGCATTGACCAGGGCCGCCAGGGCCGCCAGGTTGGAGTGCGTCGACACCGACTCCCGCGAGTGGGTGCCATTGTACACGCGCACGCGCTTGGGCCACCGGAGCCACCCATGCGAGAGGGTGTCCACAAAGAGCTCGGTCGATGTGGTCGACTGGGCGATGAACCGCCGCGTCAGCTCCGCATGGCATGCGTCCGTCTTGAGGTGCGAGCTGAGGTCCAGCTCGAACTTGGCAGGCAGGGCCTGGATCTCCTGGGGTGGCCAGCGCCAAGGCGGACACATGGGGCAAGGGCAGAAGGGGACACAAGCACCGCAGGGGTTAGACAGGCGGCCCGGGGGGGGGGAGGGGGGGGCAGAAAAAAAAAGGAGGGCCGGAAAAAGAGAGGCGCGCGAGAGCGGCAGTGCACTTACCTCGGCCGAGAGCGCCAGCGGGTCCACCAGCACACGGATGTCATCCACCACCGGGAGCGGCTGGCGCGCATGCGGCTTGGCCGAATAGAGCACCAACGACACCAGGTCGATGGCCAGCGACCGGGCCGACGGGTGATCCGACGACAGGGCCCGGTAGAACCAGTCCGACAGGTTGTTGCCGAAGGTGGCATCCGCTCGCACGCACATGGCCAGCGATTCGGCCGCATTGTTCTGCGTGTTCCAGTTCACCGGCCCCACCAGGCACTCGGAGAGCGAGGACACCAGGTTCTGGTAGACTCGGCGATCGGCCTCGAAGGAATGCTGCTTGGCTGGCACCGGCGTGGCCTTGCCCTCGAAGTCCAGCTGGAGCTTCTGCGCGAGGGCCAGGCCGCGCGACGTCGGCGCCACCCCGAGCGAGATGAAGTAGAAGCTCTCATTGAAGTTGTTGAACAGCTCCACGGACAGGTTCTGCACCGAGAGCTGTGACCGAGGCGGAGTGGCCCAGGGGGGCGGGGGCGGGGGCGAGGGGAGAAGAGCGGAGCCCAAGACAACCCCAGACCGGTGTGGCGAGGCGTGGATGCGGGTGTGGCGTGCGAGTGAGTCGAGGGAGCCCGAATGTGAGCGGGGGGGAAAAGCCCCGCCAAAGGGCGGGTGGCTGTGCACGAACCTTCTCGTCGAAGCGCGCTGAGCTGAAGTAGTTCATGAAGCGCGCCTGGAACTTCCAAGAGCGCAGGCAGAAGGACAGCATGCCGGTCTTCTTGATGGTATACAGCCCACCCTTGAGGGCGGTGATGTTGTTGGCGCCTGGGCGGGGGAGGGGGGGGGGACATATGTGAGCCATTGTAGATGAAAAAGGACATAGCTATCGAGGATCGGGGCACACGGAGCAAAAGCCTATGTGTAGAAGAGGGCATTGGAGAAGGAGAGAGAGAGAAGGGGAGAGAGAGAGAGAAGGAGAGAGAGAGAGAGAGAGAGAAGGAGAGAGAGAGAGAGAAAGAGAGAAAGAGAAAGTACCCTCGGTTTCCAGGATCTGGAAGACCCGGTTGAGACTCAGCAGACGCTGGCGAGGGAAG